GACATATTAAATCTTTCTTATCAATTATTAAAATTAGTTATATTTTCCTATCACGTACTGTCGTAATATATTTAATTACATAAATCTTGTTAAAATCATAGATTTATGTTAGTTAAAACATTCTTTAATGCATTCTGTAAAATTTAGTTATTAGAATTAGTTATATTTTTTTTATCATCTTGCTTATCTTTATTCTTATATAATATAATTATTGCAATTTTTTTATTATATCATTGTAATTTTTTTATTATATAAAACTTGTTATATCACTACAAAAATTGATTGTTTGAATTAGTTATATTTTCTTATAATATACTATTGTAATATATTTTACTATAAATAAAATTTGCTAAAATCATATATTTATGTTAGTTAGAACCTTTTTTAATGCGTTCCGTAAATTTATTATAACGGATCAAAATATAACTGATAAAAATGGTGCTTTAAATAAATGTTGTTAGAAAGTTATAATTATTAGGCTTCCTCAAAAGAGGGTTGTATTCAAAAGGGTTTTTAAAAAATAACAAATGATGATAACTTTTGAAAAAAACATGCGAAGTTAATCCTTTTTTATAATGGAGTCAAAATTTTAAAGGTGTATGTCCTCCTTGACAAAATATGTTGAGGTGTCCAATTTTAATGATTGCGTGGCACTGTCAGGGTGAATGAGGTGTAAAATAAAAAATTGAATAATCCTTTAAAGAAAAATAAATAATTATTAAAAAATTAAATAATTACTAACAAATGTTGAATTGGATGAGATTTTTTTTAATTTATAATTAAAATATTTATGAAGAGTTAGGGTTTCATTAACCACTATAAATAGCATTTTCTAATTATTTCCAATCTTACTAGGTAATTTAATTAAAATCACTTTAACTCTAATTAAATCTCTAAAAGCTGATTCACTATCCGAAACCTAATCAACAACTTGTCTTCTTCCCAATTTTCTTTTGTTGCTTTCAAACATCCCAACCCTGAGTTCTTCTTTCTCGCGGACAACTTTACTCTGAGAGTTATCCTTGTCTCAAGCAAAGGTAGAAGCCTTGTGGTGGCAAAGACGACAAAGATGCGTGAGCACGATGTAGGAGGCGTTTTTGTCTTCTGTGGTGGTTGGCGGTGTGTTCACGAGGGACCGCGTGAGGAAATCATGTCGAAGAAAGTCGTGGTGGCTCGCGGTGGCACGATCTGGCGAGTATTGTGGCGGAATCACGAGGCCCTTCGTGGTGCAAGGAAAACCCTCTTCTTCTTCTTCTCTGTTTTAGGTTGTTTCGCAGAGAAGCCCAAACACGACCTCTTCACGGCGCAGTGGTCATGGCAGAGGCAGGTTGTTTCTTCGCAGAGGCGGGTTGTTTCTTCGCAGAGGCGGGTTATTTCTTGACCACTTTTTTCTGACACGAAAATTGAACTCCACCACTTCTCAAATAAATGAAATTTTGACATATTTGTGGTATTTCAAAATTTAGAGGATGATGGAAGATCTTGTGAAAAGTAACTCCACACATAGATTAATAATTAATAATCTTTCAACGAAATGAAATTAATATTACAGAGATGAAGAGAGAAGCTGACTTCAGAAAACAAAGAAAGAGTTTGAGTGGAAAGTTATTTACTTTTAAATCTGAACAGTCTCAAAACTCCTTTGAATGAAAGCCTTGATAACATCCAATTTATTTTTCTTAACCTAACTTGACTCTCAAAAGTTGGGATCATTTAAAATAAAACAGGACTATTTTAAACATAACCCCTCTTTCGAGTCATAAAAAAAGATATCAAACCTAATTATTAACGGAAAAAATATAATGTTACTCCAAACTGGAAATTTAACATATTTTTAAGCATTGATTTAAACCATTTAACCTAACATTTATTATTTGTAAACTTTTACGACATAACAATATGTGCTTATTATTTATATAGTGCAATTTTCTATATCTTAACTAAAACATAACAGGAAATAGAAAAAATATATACAATATACTGTTTTTCACATAGATATAATTATTGCTCCCATGATATTTTAAAGTTTAAATAACCTGTGTATCCTAATAATAAAATAAGAATATATCTTGAAATTAAATATTGATATTTTTTATAAGGAAATTTAAATGTATATGATATATATTTCTACTAAAGGTATATATTAAAATAAATTTTTGTTAGATCAGTTTATATCTGAAATTTTTAAAATATTTTTTTAAAAGTTTGTTTGGATTGATTAGTTATTTGTATATTGTGTTAAGTGTAGTTATCACTAATATAATCTTTTGTTATTTAATGGGTGGAAGGTGGCAAAGTGTTTAGAGGTGATCCTCGCTGGAGAAACTCGTGGAAAAGATGAAACTGCGGAAAGCAAGAAACGGACGGGGAGATGGCGGAGGGTGGATCGCCGTGGAGGAAGCGTCGTCGTGGAAGGTGGATCGCCGTGGAGGAAGGATCGTCGTGGAGGGTGGATCGCCGCAGTAGAAACTGATGAAATCAATTATGGCAATTCGGCGCCAGAAAAAGCTTGCAATTCTTTTTTCTTTTTAATTTTAATTTTGTCAAATTTGATGGTGGTTTTGTGAGTGATGATTGCAGATAATAAACGGTTGCAGAAAAAGAAACAACAGATGGCAGAGATTTCGCAAACCGGCGGAGCCCCGACGGAGACTCGTCTGGAGGCAGCGGCGCAGGAATAACGACGGACAAACCCCGAACGAGAGTGGGAGCATAGGCATTTTCTTGATAGTGAAAATTGCTCACCGACAACCAAGAATGACATCGTAAGAGAATCTGTAACATGATTTCGACATTTTACCTTTTTCATACGCATGATATTTGAAACATGAATGCTTACACATGATATTTGAAACATGAATGCTTACACGTGATATTTGAAACATTAGGTAAAATTGCAGTCTATGATAATTTTTTTTAGGTGAACGTCAAACGGTGAATTCAGGTAACTTCTTTATTCTTTAAAAGAAAAAAAGATAATCTTTTATGTCATATGATTCATTTTAGATCTCAATCAATTTGACAATAAACTCTTTAAGAATGTCTATTTTGTTGGATGATGAACTTGGGAATGAAATTCGGCAAATCGGGGTCTGAGACAATGTGCTGCTCAGAATTTGTCATGTGAGTTCAAATCGTGATTTATTTATTTTTAACCTTGATGGCACAGTATATACAAGAAAAGAGTTCAAGAAACATTTTTTAATTTTATTTTCTTTTACATAATTTATATATTTCGATATGAAATCTATTTATATATAATCCATGTTACAAATTATTAGAAAAAAATTAAAATCAAAACTTTTTTTTTTGAGTTGTCAAATTCTTCTCTTATAATTATTGTGCAATCAGGGTGAAAATAAATGAATTATAATTTGGATTTATATGACAAATTCAGTGCAGCACATTATCTTAGAGCTGGAGTTGTTGAATTTCATTTACAACTTCATCATCTAATAAACAAGGTGTTAAAAGAGTTTTGTTGTTTAGTTGAAGAAGTTTAAGATGAATTAGGTGATATAAAATATTATTTTTTTAAAGGTTTAAACCCTCGTATGTATATGGGAAGAAGCAGAAGTTGCTGAGGGTGTAGGACTCTCCAGCGAGGGTGATTACGTAAGCAAACCTTACGATGATGATGAGAAGTTAAAACATTTCTGAGTAAGGCTGACTTCCCTGTGGCAGACTCCATGAAAACAAATTGTATACTTTTCTTTAAGAAAATAATAATTACAAGAAAAAAAATTAAATGAAAATATGCTTTCAATACTTTAATTTATCGTAGAAGTGAGTGAATGAGTGGTTAGCATCGAAGGATGAAACAGGAATTCATGGATATTGTATTCTTAAATTGGTTAATTTAATTATACTTAATTAGTTATAATTATGATAATATTGCTTGAGTGATATAACTTTTTGAAGCATAGGAATTAGAGATTAGACTTCTCCAAACTTGCAAACGTTCATAGTTTAGGTGTTTAATCATTATTTCAATTCTCAGCTTCACAGAAGAAAAAATCGTTATAGTATCTCTCTACTCAACTTTTGTCTTATAAGTTAAATAATTATTATTATGGTTTGAAAATCCATATAATCACTTAGCTAATGATACTCTGGAGTTAAGTTGATAGTTCTCATTAAATAAATATCGAAATTTTAAACCACTTATATAGACAGGTGATTTAACTTGCTATCCTAATTTTTAAATCATATATCTCAAATTTTTAAATTACTTATCAAATTTTTAAGTGACACCAAAGGTTTTAACAATTTAATGAAATTTTAATATATGATTTAAGAACTTTAAATAAAAAAATAAAGTGGTAAAGATAATCACTATTCCCAATTAAAAGATGATACATGAAATTATAACTTACTTTAAAATTATCCTCAATTAAAAGATCTAACAAAATTTTACAAAAATATAAAGGAAGTTAGAGATATCGAGACATACAAGTAAAATAAAATAAAAAATAGTCGAATGTAATTGGTGAAAGACACCATACTATTTTTTTTTTTGTGTGACACACTTTTCGTGTTTGACATCAGATTTCAAAATAACAAGCTTCTTTTAAAATAAATTTAAAAACAAATATTCATATTAAAGTCAATTATTTTTTCTTTTCTGTATTTTCTTTCACGTTTAAATTTGTAGGAAATATTCGTTATATAATGGATTAATTAAAATTCTCCCTGTCCCTTAAAATATTTTACCACTATAATATGTTGATACTATTAATTGAATTTGAGCACTTGATATTAATTTATCCACAATAAATTCCATTTTAAATATATTATTTTAATCTCAAAATTATTCATCTATATCTTCTACCTTAAAAAAGCTGGATATTTATGTGACTCCAATCCCACTAAGGGGTTTCTAAAAAAGTTTAAAGAATAAAAAGGATTTAAATGTACTTAACAAAGTTAAAGTGGCGTAGAAGAAAGATACATACATACATGTACACGACTCTTTCCTTGAACCGTAGCTGGTAAGACGATGATGATGATTTATCAATCTTCACATCAACGGTGGTGAGTGTCCCGTCACTGAACAAAACAAAAATGTGGCTGTGGCTGTTGCTGTTGCTGTTTCAGTTGAATGTTACTATTTCAAACACTCTTCCCTCACTCACTCCAAGCCTCACATTCCTTTTATTTTTTTTTAATTTTCTTTCTCCAAACGCTTGAATAATTATTACAATTACAATACTAATAACCACAACGTAACATGGCATCCACTCTCTCCCTCCGGCCCGACCGACTCTCGCCCGGTTCATCCTTCCTCAGACCGCCGGTTCGCCCTCCCCTGCACAAACCAATCGCGGCCGAGCAGTGGCGCGCCGCGCCGCCCCGGATACAGTGCCGCCGCAGGACGGTGGCGCCGGTCCATGCCGGCTCTCGCGCCGATGACTCCGCGCCGTTCGAGATGTCTGTGGAGAACGCGCTGAAGCTGCTGGGCGTGTCGGAGGGCGCGTCCTTCGATGACATACTCCGCGCCAAAAACGCCATCCTCGCTAATTGCAAAGATGACCAAGATGCCGTTGCTCAGGTTGAGTTTTCTTCGATTTCGCTCTTTCGCTCCAATTTCCGTTATGAGAATCAAATTCACATCGCGCCTGCTTGTTAATGTTGTTGCAGGTCACGATTGAGAATCTTTGATGACATATGTCTAATCTAAAGATTTATAAAGCTTCCAGTCAAATTGAAATTTTCATCTAGACGGGAACACTCACTATAAGCACTTTTAAAAACTGCATCTAATTTTTCTTTATAAAATTAGCATTTCAACTTGGGGTCGGACGTAAGTTCGGCTTCTCATTGGTTTTTATATAGATATATTATTTGTTTAATATGTATTTCTCAAATTTTTAATTGCTCACTTGTTACATCCTCCGCGATTGTTTTTTGGTCACCTCATTATTTGAGTGGGTTTTGGTAGCGTATGCGGTGTGTTGATTGAAAACAAATAATGATGATGGGTGTCGTTTGGGTAATATGTATAGTTTCAGGGTTAAATATGGGTGTTTGTGATTAACTGACAATGATAAGGTCAATCCTCTATGTGGTGATGGGTCAATAGGAAAACATTAATTTTTGTTTGGAAGAACATATCGCTGGATGCTTATGGATTGTGTTTTGCTTTGAGGTATCGAAAAGGATTTCTGGGAAGGTGAACATGAGAACATCTCATTTCTGGGTTTGGTTTTGAACAAAAGTTTCCAGGAATTGCTGATTCAGAATAATATAAATGTTTATGTTATTTTCATAGGAATGGGACCTATTTTCTGCAACATATTATATCTTGAAACATGTACCCATCAAGAAGAATAATAGAAGGTAAAATGAATTAAACCTTTTTCAAGTTAAAGTTTGCTTGTAGATAAATAAAAATCAGCTTCTAGAGAAGCCAAAGGAAAGCAGTTAACTATTCAATTCTCAATACAGTGGATGTGGACATTAACACAATCAGTGGTTGTCTTTGTAGGTTGAGGCTGCATATGACATGTTGCTTATGCAGAGCCTAACTCAGCGGAGGGCAGGGAAAGTAGCAAACAGTAATGTTCGTTATGCTGATGTCAAGCGTGTGAAACCCCCAACAGCGGGATCAATGCCGCAATGGTTGAAGAATTCACCTGTGTCAGTTGAGTCACCTTCCACCAGTGATCTCGGTTTACAAGCTGGAGTGTATGGTGCATTAATGGGTTTAACCTATCTTAATGGGGCTTCTACACCCGTTGCAGCTTATGCCGGGGCTGATGTTCCTGGACTACTCTTGGCTGGTAGCTTTGGTGCTTCCCTGTACTTTATGACCAAAAAGAATGTTAAGTTAGGTAAGGAGCGTTCACATGTGCACTCTGTAATCAATTCATTGCAATTCAAGAGGATTCTTGTTTCGTGGGTGGCAATATTCATATTTGTTTGTATGTTGGAAAGTAAGAGAGAATTGGAAAGTCCATAATGAATGGGAGAACCAGGGAAAAGGGGGAAATGGACCTAGAGAGATTTACCTTCTTGTTATCCTTTTTTGAAACTTAATATTTTGAGGACAGAAAAGAGAATATGAGATGAAAGCAAGTGATAAGAATGAACCTCAACGTTTTGGATTCTCTTAAAAAATTGTTGATTCATATCTAACTATTCCCAACTTGTGGGATGCAACTTGGTTGTTGTTTGTTATTGTGGTTGTCTAACAAATTTTTAGGTTTTTGTTTTGCAAGATCTACCTCCATAATGGGATTCTGTATTTTGTATTGTAATTAGGCAGGAGCACAAAATGAAACTTGGCTGTGTTGTTTACTTCGTTTACTGTATTTTACCCAACTCAATATTAAAAGTTGGGTTTATAGAAAAGACCTGTATTTCTGATGCTGCTGATACGGATACTAATTCATTTATTAATATTTCCAGCACGATGATTATTTCTGTCTAAATTAATGGCAGTTTGGAAATAATAAGTCTCAAGTATAAAGTGTGACACTGCAGTTGAAAAAAGTTTATCTACTTTACAAATGACACTTCTAGCTATATTTTGTTCAATCGAGATACTTTTCTGACTTTTTTGCCTCTTTTCCTAGACTATGTCTATTCTTTTAGGATTAGTTTTGAGTTTCATTCCTTTCTCATTGTCCTTATTGTTTTATTGTTGTATCCTATTAATTTTTTGCAGGGAAGGCCACTGTCATAACCATAGGCGGGCTCGTAGCTGGCGCTGTTGTAGGGTCAGCGGTAGAGAACTGGTTGCAGGTAGATATTGTCCCATTCCTGGGTATACACTCCCCTGCTGCTGTTGTTAGTGAAATCATTATTATATCTCAATTCTTGGTTTCTCTGTACCTAAGGTAAACACGAAAGCATGGTGATCTTGCATTAAATTGTGAAACTTGTAATTATTCATTTGCATGCAGCATGTTCATACCCTAAGGTAGACAGGCAAGGCTACTGTTATTTCTTATAACCATAGGACTCATAGCTGGCCCCCTGTGGTTGTGTCAGCTGGAGAGAACTGTTATACCGTTTCTGGGCATACGCTCCCTGCTGCTGTTGTTAGTAAAATCATAACTATCTCATATCTTGTTTTATCTGTACCTAAGGTAGACAGGAAAATATGGTGATCTTATTTGAAATTGTGAACTTGTAACTATTCATTTGCATGCAGCGTGATCATACCCAAGCTATTTTACAGGATGTGAAATCATTGCATATTTGTACAAAACTGTGAATAGAATGTAGTCCCTCATCTGCAAATGCGTGAAACTTACATTGGAAAGGTGCATATTTATGTTCACAGTTGGTGAGCAAATGAGCATTTTGCAATCCCAGTAGTCCGTCTTGCTTTGTTTAATAAATAGTCCTAGAAAAAAACACTTGGGTGTTCGGTTTCCTTTTTAGTCCTTTAAAGGTGTTTATAACACTTCATTTTCTTACTGGTTTCCGAATGTGAAACACTATGTCTGTTTATATCTGTGTACATCTTTATGTGTTATGGGTCCTCTCATGATGGGTTCTGTTGCTCTGCTTAGCATTTTTATGATGTATATCAAACCATGCTGTTTCTTTCAACGTGCTGCATTTTGGCGTTTTGTATCAAAGCTTTATGATAATGCCTCTGTCTTGTGTTTTTCCGGTGGGTCATAAGTGCTGGCCTCGTACATCTCTCACGTACAGACTGCACCCTCACCCTTTTCAGCACGCGACCACAAGTCGTGTTTAGATAAAAATAAATAAACTAGAATAATGACAACACAAAGGCACGAAAATTATCTTATTTCTTCAAATGTTAGGCTAGTTTATAGTCACACAAACAATAGCAAAAGTTTGCGTGGTTTTAAGTCTTCTTTTGCAATGTCAAAATTTGAGTCTGGGAAACTTTGTAAATAAATGCAACCTCGCCGATCCAATCAAGTTTCCATTAGTTTCTTGGGAAAAGCCTACGAAAAGAAGAAACAAAGAAGACACAAATACATACACCCACACGCATTGATGAATTAGAGTGTGTCTGGATATCACATCTGAACTAAACCTACATTCAACCCGTTCCAATACTTAATTTACTTGTTGATTATTCGTTGGAAAGTATAATAAAACTTTCAAACAGTATAATTGCAGCAGGGAGAGATTGGTATTCGAGTTTGTAAACATTGTGGTAAGTAGATTGCCGACAACTTCATTGAAATCAATGTCAAATGAGACATTGAGATCAATTCGTTGGAAAATGAACATGGTCAATTCTACTATTAATTTATTACTGTAAATGATTTAATCTTTATCGAAGTATTTTTTGGTTTAGATCAATTAGTTGGAAAATGAACATGGTCAATTCTACTGTTAATTTATTACTGTGAATGATTTAATCTTTTCCGAAGTATTTTTGGGTTACAAACCGATGTACAACTCAGGTAGTAGAAATAATTGTATGAATTTGAATTTTCGAGAGTATTTCTTTTGGTGCAATTCTTTTTTTTTGGGGTACATATCAACATTAGTTTGACTTGATAACATATTTTTTATAATTACGAAATTATTTCGTGTTCATTTACCCTCTTTTGAGTTTTATACTAAAGAAAATAAGAAAAGAGAAAAAAAATTGTAATTTGAATTGACAAAACAACAGAATAAAAAAATGTTTCAGAAATTGATTATTTCCCTTTAGACAAGAGAAAATGTGTCATAATCTATGCTTTCTTTCCCTCTACATTCTTTCTTTTCATCCACATTTTTATTATTTTAAAAATTAATGAGAAAAAAAATTAAAACATTTTTTTAATGTTCTTTTTTTTTCATAATTGGGGCAATTCAAAATATGCACTTTTTTGGAAGAGAAAACCAAACTAACAGCGTTGATTATGATATTTTTAAAATATTCTTTACTTGTGGTGGAGCTAGATTAAAATATTTAGAACTAATCTTTTAGACTAATCAATATATTTTTTTTCAATTTTTGAGAGTTCCATGCTCGTTTTCGAAGTAAAATTGGAAACATCAATACATTTAACCACTATAGTACATTAATAAGAGTTGTTTGGAAGTAAAATTATAGGTACCACACAATTAGCTAATAGGTGTTTTTCCCTATGTGGTCCACTCGTTTAACTAATAAATTAAACATTTTTTTGTAGAGTTAAAAAAAAAACCGTGCTTATAAACAAATAAAACATGTACAAGAATTCTTTAACAAGTTCTTGTCATTACAAAATTAAAATTACACATGATTAATAATTTTCCCCCATGATTTTAAGCTTTACTTCTTTGTTAGTTCCCTTTTCTAACACTTGTTAATTAAGATTGGTAAGAAATTTTATATAACAATCATGGTTTTAGTAAAAGAAAGTTATTTCTTTATAATGAATTACTCCCTCTTGAGTCTTTATTATAAAACACCTTCTACAAGTTTTATACAATTCACTCTATAAGACCCTTTATACTTTAAGTCATACGTTAATTTATTTATCCTTACTAAATCATTTTTAGGATTTGTCTTGAAGTTTGACTATAACGTGGAAATATATAACATTAGATATAATTTTTCATATTTTTTTAATCCAATGTTATTACACCACTTTTAACTCTCAAATGTCCTCTTCTCATTAAATGTTTATACTTAAAAGGTAAATTAAGCAAATGAATATATTTTCAAAAAAATCTGCAAAAATTAACTAATTTCCCTTTTTTATTTAAAATTTTATTAAATGTTCACGGACTCTGCCTCAAATATAATTATATATATATATATCCAGCAGTTGAATCCAATTGTTAAAAGAATCTAACATCCCCACCAAGATAATTGAGAATCTTGTACAAAATTCCCTCACTCAACCTCATTAAATTAATCATTTCAGCTATGACAAGAGTTACCAACTCCATCATATTCCCTCCTTTATCTTACTTTTCACCTGCTAAACACAGAAAACAAAGAAATTTTGAGAGAAAGAAAACAATTAACAGTCAGCAACATACATCAGTGCACTCCATCAACTAACATAAAAATTGATGTCTCAGCGAGCTGCTTCGACATAACACAACACAACATAACACATAATAACACCATAATTACTTACACAATAAAGCACCCCAAAGCCTCAAATATCCCTCACTAACACTATTTTTGGCTGTTGCAACTTTCAATATTGCAGCCACCCTCTATGTATGTAATGTTCCCAACCTTGTCACTTTTTTCACTATAACTTACAAGATCATTGTACATTTTCTGTGATGCTTTGGAGAACTCCGACAAGGATTCAAACACTAGAGAAAACCCAGATTGCAATCCATGTAACGTTATCCTCTGTGTTTCCTGCATGCTACTGTGGTGCTTCTCCTTCTCCACTTCAAGTTTTCTTCTCAGTGTCTCCACATGATCATTTTTCTCCATCATGCACTCATCTTGTTCATCAGTAGTACTCCACTTTGATTCCTGATCAGTGGCATGCAGCTCAAGCATCTTTGTCTCCACTTTAGGTAGTCCTCCTGAAGCGTATCTTCTGTCCAAAACTCTAGTTAACCTATCTACCTTCCTTTTCTGCTGTTGCTCTTTGTTTTGCTGAAGCCACAAAGCTCTAACATCTTTCACAACACTTTTCAATGCCAGTGTTACCATTTTATCAGGTAACTTCTGCATTGAGGCTAACCAATCGTTGCATATCACAAGCAGAGGTGGCCCGTTCACTTCGTACGGCAAGGCAATGTTTTTGCTTCTCGAGTAAAACTCCACTTCAGGGACTATGAACTTACTCAGCCATCCGTGTAAAGCTTCAACATATGCTTCTTGTGCTGCAGTGTACTCTTTGAAGCAGTCACGCCAATTTCGAAGCTGAGCTTCGAGTTGAAGAGTTGCAAATCGATGAGACTGGTTACAGAATTTCTCATACGTGGTGCATGTGAAGTACTTCACTTCAGACAGAATCTTCTTCTGGGTTTCATGGGACTCCAACATGATCTTCCATGACTGGGTCAGGCTGCATTAGGAAAATGGAACATAAGAAATCAATGAAACTTGAAATTATTTAGTCTTTTCAGTTTTCAGTGGCAATGTTATCCCACCCTTTTAACAGTTCAACAATTTGAGGTTGTAGTTCTTCATCTCTCAGTTTCTCAATTCTCTTTGAGATTGATTCTGCCCGTCGGATTGCAACCAAGATCCCAGCATACAGATCTTTCACTTCAACTTTGGTTTTGTCTGTGCTCAGCAGATCATCTCCTCTAACATTCTTACTTCTCAACTGTGCACATTTTTTTTCATAACTTTTCCTTGTGCTATCTCCAGCCTAAGGTAAGGGAAATTTCAGATGTTAAAAGAAGAATGAGNTATTCGAGTTTGTAAACATTGTGGTAAGTAGATTGCCGACAACTTCATTGAAATCAATGTCAAATGAGACATTGAGATCAATTCGTTGGAAAATGAACATGGTCAATTCTACTATTAATTTATTACTGTAAATGATTTAATCTTTATCGAAGTATTTTTTGGTTTAGATCAATTAGTTGGAAAATGAACATGGTCAATTCTACTGTTAATTTATTACTGTGAATGATTTAATCTTTTCCGAAGTATTTTTGGGTTACAAACCGATGTACAACTCAGGTAGTAGAAATAATTGTATGAATTTGAATTTTCGAGAGTATTTCTTTTGGTGCAATTCTTTTTTTTTTGGGGTACATATCAACATTAGTTTGACTTGATAACATATTTTTTATAATTACGAAATTATTTCGTGTTCATTTACCCTCTTTTGAGTTTTATACTAAAGAAAATAAGAAAAGAGAAAAAAAAATTGTAATTTGAATTGAAAAAACAACAGAATGAAAAAAATGTTTCAGAAATTTATTATTTCCCTTTAGACAAGAGAAAATGTGTCATAATCTATGCTTTCTTTCCCTATACATTCTTTCTTTTCATCCACATTTTTATTATTTTAAAAATTAATGAGAAAAATTGGAACATTTTTTTATTGTTTTTTTTTTTCATAATTGGGGCAATTCAAAATATGCACTTTTTTTGGAAGAGAAAACTAAACTAACAGCATTGATTATGATATTTTTAAAATATTCTTTACTTGTGGTGGAGCTAGATTAAAATATTTAGAACTAATCTTTTAGACTAATCAATATTTTTTTTTTCAATTTTTGAGAGTTCCATACACATTTTCGAAGTAAAATTGGAAACATCAACACATTTAACCATTATTATAGTACATTAATAATAGTTGTTTGGAAGTAAAATTATAGGTACCACACAATTATAGGTGTTTTTCCCCATGTGGTCCACTCGTTTAATTAATAAATTAAACATTTTTTTTGTAGAGTTAAACAATAACCGTTCTTATAAACAAATAAAACATGTACAAGAATTCTTTAACAAGTTCTTGTTATTACAAAATTAAAATTACACATGATTAATAATTTTCCCCCTTGATTTCAAGCTTGACTATATTATTCTTTGTTAGTTCCCTTTTCTAACACTTATTAATTAAGATTGGTAAGAAATTTTATATAACAACAATCACGGTTTTAGTAAAAGAAAGTTATTTCTTTATAATGAATTACTCCCTCTTGAGTCTTTATCATAAAACACCTTCTACAAGTTTTATACAATTCACTCTATAAGACCCTTTATACTTTAAATCATACGTTCATTTATTTATCCTTACTAAATCTTTTTTAGGATTTGTCTTGAAGTTTGACTATAACCTGGAAATATATAACATTAGATATAATTTACATATTTTTTTAATCCAATGTTATTACACCACTTTTAACTCTCAAATGTCCTCTTCTCATTAAATGTTTATACTTAAAAGGTAAATTAAGCAAATGAATATATTTTCAAAAAAATCTGCAAAAATTAACTAATTTCCCTTTTTTATTTAAAATTTTATTAAATGTTCACGGACTCTGCCTCAAATCCAGCAGTTGAATCCAATTGTTAAAAGAATCTAACATCCCCACCAAGATAATTGAGAATCTTGTACAAAATTCCCTCACTCAACCTCATTAAATTAATCATTTCAGCTATGACAAGAGTTACCAACTCCATCATATTCCCTCCTTTATCTTACTTTTCACCTGCTAAACACAGAAAACAAAGAAATTTTGAGAGAAAGAAAACAATTAACAGTCAGCAACATACATCAGTGCACTCCATCAACTAACATAAAAATTGATGTCTCAGCGAGCTGCTTCGACATAACACAACACAACATAACACATAATAACACCATAATTACTTAAACAATAAAGCACCCCAAAGCCTCAAATATCCCTCACTAACACTATTTTTGGCTGTTGCAACTTTCAATATTGCAGCCACCCTCTATGTATGTAATGTTCCCAACCTTGTCACTTTTTTCACTATAACTTACAAGATCATTGTACATTTTCTGTGATGCTTTGGAGAACTCCGACAAGGATTCAAACACTAGAGAAAACCCAGATTGCAATCCATGTAACGTTATCCTCTGTGTTTCCTGCATGCTACTGTGGTGCTTCTCCTTCTCCACTTCAAGTTTTCTTCTCAGTGTCTCCACATGATCATTTTTCTCCATCATGCACTCATCTTGTTCATCAGTAGTACTCCACTTTGATTCCTGATCAGTGGCATGCAGCTCAAGCATCTTTGTCTCCACTTTAGGAAGTCCTCCTGAAGCGTATCTTCTGTCCAAAACTCTAGTTAACCTATCTACCTTCCTTTTCTGCTGTTGCTCTTTGTTTTGCTGAAGCCACAAAGCTCTAACATCTTTCACAACACTTTTCAATGCCAGTGTTACCATTTTATCAGGTAACTTCTGCATTGAAGCTAACCAATCGTTGCATATCACAAGCAGAGGTGGCCCGTTCACTTCGTACGGCAAGGCAATGTTTTTGCTTCTCGAGTAAAACTCCACTTCAGGGACTATGAACTTACTCAGCCATCCGTGTAAAGCTTCAACATATGCTTCTTGTGCTGCAGTGTACTCTTTGAAGCAGTCACGCCAATTTCGAAGCTGAGCTTCGAGTTGAAGAGTTGCAAATCGATGAGACTGGTTACAGAATTTCTCATACGTGGTGCATGTGAAGTACTTCACTTCAGACAGAATCTTCTTCTGGGTTTCATGGGACTCCAACATGATCTTCCATGACTGGGTCAGGCTGCATTAGGAAAATGGAACATAAGAAATCAATGAAACTTGAAATTATTTAGTCTTTTCAGTTTTCAGTGGCAATGTTATCCCACCCTTTTAACAGTTCAACAATTTGAGGTTGTAGTTCTTCATCTCTCAGTTTCTCAATTCTCTTTGAGATTGATTCTGCCCGTCGGATTGCAACCAAGATCCCAGCATACAGATCTTTCACTTCAACTTTGGTTTTGTCTGTGCTCAGCAGATCATCTCCTCTAACATTCTTACTTCTCAACTGTGCACATTTTTTTTCATAACTTTTCCTTGTGCTATCTCCAGCCTAAGGTAAGGGAAATTTCAGATGTTAAAAGAAGAATGAGAAAAAGTGGAAACAGGAAAACGAAGGCATGCTTAAAAAATACAAAGTCCTATAGGAATGAAATTCAAAAGAAAGAGTACAAAATTCTCAAGAGAAGTTGATTTCATTCATCTTTATGCTCCAAACTGAAAAAACAGTGGCCTGTGGCTGTTTTGGGCCAATTTTTTTTGGCCCATTTAAAATATGGGCCTGGCTGGAACAATCTTTCAATTGGTCCAGTTGGTTTTGCCCTTGCAGCCCATTTTTTCAACTCTATTTGATAGGCAAAAATTTCTTAAATGGAAGTAACGTAGAGACATGGAAGGAGATCTACAAATAGTTTAGCATGTTTTTAACACCAATCTTGAGTTTGCCAACAAGGAAGCCTTTAATAAAACACTACTAAAGGTTAAATAAATGCCCCTGGAATTTATATGTAGATAGATGCAAGGTGTGAAAAATGTAAACAATGGTACATACACCAGTTATTTTGATCCATTCCAGAACAAACGTTGATGCAGTATCATCACAAAACAGATTGTATGGATAAAAGACAGAAGAATTATAAAACAAACCAACCTTAACCTCCTCATAGAGTTTCTTTTCCCATGCATATAACCTTCCTAAGGTTGATAAATGGCTTCCCGAATCCATCACTCCATAATCATCAAACAGATCATTCTTATATTCCACCCAAGTTGAAGAATTTTTCGTATTTGGAGCCATGAGACTCTTGCATGATGATTGCCTAGATGAAATGGACTTCCATGTTATTGCCTGAATGAGTTTAGTCGAACTTTCTGCAGTGAGATCAGATGGTTCAAATTCCCAAGGCTTGAAACTTGAAACAGAAGCATATGAACCCATGCAGAGATAATGGAATACACATGGAGGAAAATCTAAACTATACAGAGCATTGGTTATCATGTGTTGATACATCCAACAGATTTCACAAGATGGTACATGCACGATATGATTTTCAAATACAACAATAATATCACGGCACTGGTTGATTTTCAGATCAAAACCATTTTTATCTTCTAGAGCTCTCTCATTAAGTTTTTAACTATGATAAGCTATTTATAACACAATTAACAGATCCAAAGTTTGTGTGTAGCTAGGAAAGAATCTGAGGCTTCTACCGCAGTGTTAAACCTCTTGTGTGCCATCAACATGTGACAGATTAAAAGTTAAAACACACAACAACTACTCTAATTAACTTAATAGCACTTCCTTTGAGTGTTCAGTTAAACATTGCAATTATACTATAGTAGTTCAAGTAAATAGTTACATATATTTAAGGTAGCGTAGGTTATGCAAGAAATGCAGTTGTATTTTTACAAGTGTCAACTGTTGATTTGTAGTTCATACCTACATCAGTTAATTACAAACTCAAGTGTGTATGGTCACATGGATCAACACGTACAGTGTCAGAAGATGACCTATGCAGGAATATGAGAAAATTGCAACAACATATTTACAAGATGATCTGAGATGTCCAACAGTCCAAGATTGCAGTATATCCTAAAATATCCAATGCTGGACGGAGAAAAGGACAGTCCATAATAGAAATAGAAACAAGTTAACAGAGACATGGTAATCATACCTTGCACATGCCGAATGTTGAGGCTAATGATACAAGGCAGAACCAACACAACACAGCAATGTACAAGTTTTAACCAACAAATTACATCACAGAGAAACTATTATCTCCACCAGTTAATAATTCAAGAAACTCAACCATAAACATGAAATAGATATTTGCAGAGAATGATAACAACAAAAATAATAGCTCAAAAACTCCCTATATTAAAGAGGGACCCACCTTTTATTTCATCCAAACTAGAATGAAGGGGGATTCTATTAGCTTCCAGCATTCTGGTCACATCTTTTCCAGAATCATATGCCCTAAGAAAATGGTCTTCGATGTCTTTCAATGCTTCAAGCAGCTCTC